ACTACCGGACATCCGTGTTGTCAGATCGGCCCATATTGAATATGGGCCGCTAGGCTCATTTTTCCTTGAGAGCTAGTGGGCTCACCAAACTTTATATATATATATATATATATATAAAGAACAAGTATAGAATGAGACATGTTATCAGGTAGTCATAATTAATCTTGACCATTGACTATGAAATTAAATAGCTGCATTTACTCTATTGACCAAGCTCAAATTTCAAAATAAATTTTATCAAAACTTATCGAACTCGAGTGAATCTACTTATAAAGGCATTTTTGCCAATATTTTTAAAGCCTCTTAAACTTGAGGACCGGAGATAATATAAACTTTAATTATAGAGATTAAGGCAAACCCCATGCTTTTTATTTTCAAATACCCTAGTAAACATGGTAAATAACTAAATATGTAACACAAATACCCTAGTCAACATGGTAAATAACTAAGTATGTAACATTGAAGCTAGCCCTTTAAGGCTAATTTTGGCAGGCATACATCTTCTATGCTTAACTTACGATTATGTAATTAAATGGCCTGATACTGTTTTTATCTCCTCCTGCCCAATTTGAGGCAAGGTTCTCTCTCTTATTCTTTTTGGGAAAAGTTTATATAGAGCTGAGACTCTAAGCAATCAAATTAGAGCCTACTTCAAAAATTTCACTAGAAGAGGTTGTTTTGATGTTCAAATATCCTCAAATTGATCATCTCGACATCAAGATGCATGAACATAAGAAAAAAATAGATTTTAAGTTTTGAAAATAATGTCTTTTGTAACGTATTTTTGGACCGTCAATTTTCGAGATTTTCATGCTTTCATAGATCTGTCAGATCGATCTACACTATTTTTGGAGCTTTAAACTTTATAAATAAAGAATAAATATATGTCAAGGTTATTACAAAGATTTCCAGTATTGAAACTACATTTCTCGACCCTATTTGAAGGTGGGTTCTAATTTGATTGTTTAGAGCCTATGCTCTATACAAACCGCACCCATTCTTTTTGGTTGGTTCTCTCTCATCCCTGTGCTTAACTTAGTATGATGAATTAAAAGAGACCCATATTCTCTCTTCTCTGCCCCAATTTGAGGTAAGTGAACTTCATAAAAGAACAAGATAAGTGAAATTTTAGACCAAAACTTCATGTGGCACTTCATATTAACAAATAGGAAAGTACTGCAGTAAGTTGGAATATCCAGCCACTAGAGTTAGAAATTTCAGTTGTTAAATATAACCCAAAATGTTTTACATAAACTTATATCCAGCCACTAGAGTTAGAGACTTCAGTTGTCAAATATAACCCAAAATGTTTTACATAAACTTGTCTAGGCTATTGTAATGCAGTGGCCATGCTATTGTAATGCTTCTAAGGCCAGGCTTTGTATGCAACGGCCTCAACAATGATCGCAAAGATAAGTTTAGGTAATTTTTATTTACTTATTTATTTTGTAGTTTAGCGAGAAAAGGGTTTTTTTACTTCTAATAAAAATAAAATTCAAGACATCATGTTGAAAGCCCAAACACCTTTAAGTGAACCTTTTGATAATGGAATTACATTTCAGAAATGTATATTCTAGGACATGCGGAGGAAGGATAACTTGTCTCTTGCAAAAGAGAAACTAAAGGCATTGTGCAAAAAACAGCAACTAAAGGCCAAAAAGAAATCAGTCCTAACATTCATGCTAGCCAGGAACATCAAATATGTTATATTGTATTTTCTATATAAAGTTCTTGCAACATATTGTTCAACATTCAACAAGCATTATAGTACGTTCGTTATATACAGATTCTCAAAGGTTGGATAGCGAGGGAGAGCGGCCATACGAAACATATCGGTAATTTAATTTATTATTTAAGGGGCTGAAATCTCGTACAAAGTAATTAAAAGGATCCCAATTGACATTTAATGAGTTTTTCTTTAACTGCTAATCACTTGATCCCAAGCCCAATTCTTAAGAAAACGAATAGGTCATTTAGTTTTTTAGGACAAACTTCTTAAGAAAACGAATAGGTCATTTAGTTTTTTTAGGACAAACTTCTTAAGAAAACGAATAGGTCATTTAGTTTTTTAGGACAAACTTCAAATATTTGAACCCTTTGCCTCCCAACAACCAAACTGATATGTTTACCACCGAGTGAAAGACCTTATGGCTAAATGGTAGTTTCCCTTTAATTTTATGTCGTACTTTTTCTCAGCTGGCCATCCTGGACAAGAGGCGGACGACATTTATCTTTACCATGACCATATGGATTATATGATCTAGTGAACGGAATAATTCATCTCAAGTACAAATTTTTGAATCAGCTATTCTTTTTTGTTAAACAATCAAAGACGCACTTCTAAATTTTGTCATGAGATTTTTAGGATGACTCGAGAATCTATTTTTATCTCTGATTATAAAATTTTAAACTCCTAAAATAGTTCAAATCAAACCTATCTATAATCACATAAAAATCTTGAAAATAAACAGTTCAAACAAGATGTACTATTTTTAAGACTTTAAATCTATCTTATCTATATCTATAGATCTCAATATCAAGATGATCAATTAGATGATCTTCCAACATCAAAATAACCTTTTCTAATAGATTTTTTTAGTGCGCCTTAATTTTACAATTTAAGGTGCTAATCTTTATAAAATTTTCCCACTTGAAATCAACCGAACCCTTTTTTTCTGCGCTTTTTTCTTCTTTTGATATAAGATGATATGAACATACTTATGTTCCTTTTTCCACCTAACTCGTGCTTTTTCTTCCTTTCCTCTCTTTTCCGCTATGTTACTGCAGGACTCGCATAGGAGATCTTATTGTATACTATGTCTTTCATGGATTGGAGGATGTTTTGTTGGTGGTTGACATCAATTTCTTGAGGTGTTTTGCTATGTCGCGTTTTAAATTTCTTCAAAAATCACCAGAGACGAAATTTGAAAAACATTGCTGCATTCTTTGATCGAGGCGATGGCACTTCCTTAAAACCCAATTTCACATAAGAGTATTCTTAATCACTCAATTTTACCTCAAATGGTTTCGGGTGATTAAACAAACTAGATGATACTAGTATATGAGAAACTATAGAATAAGACAATTTACTTTTGACCTAAAAATTTCATGAACATCCCCATCCATGAGATGTGGAATTGGATGGCTAAGGATGTGCCATTTATTATGCACAATGTTCAAAAAAAATTTTCTCAAGCTTTGCTACATATGCTTAGCTCCAAATTTCAAGTCCAATGGCTAACAGCTATCGTAATCTTCTTGTATCAAAGATACATAGTTTTGCAGCATACATCTATATTCCTTTTCAAGGAATTGAATTGTCGGTGGTGATGGGGTCCTAAGGGATTAAACCCCAAACCAACCTCCAAATTAATCCCCTAACGCCCAAATTAGCTACATGTGGTTCAAGAAAAGAGTATCACTAATCAATTAGAAATCCAAAACAAATATATGTACATTTTTCTAATATGTACTTGGAAGAAAGAAAACACTAATTTCTACCACAACTAATAACTTTTCTCAAAAAAAAAAAGGACAGTAATACAAAGTTAAATAATTAGAGTTATTAAAAGCCTTAATCCTTGGGACGTTTAACTATCAAAACTGGTAATTTGGTGTTGTTAGCACAGTGATTGCTCACACTCCCAAGAAAAGCCCTGCAATATCAAACCCCACAGTCTTTTAAGTAAGAGAGCAATGAAAAAGATAACATAGAAGAAGATTCTATCATTGTTAATTGTCTATTAGCCTCCTTCTCTAATGTTTAATTGACCAGATTAACCTATGGGTATTAACATTCAGTTAATTAGATTAACAGTACTTACCTAAAAAAATAGATTAACAATAGGCATAGATGTTTTCATTTATTAGATTAAAAATGGATAAAATACCTTTTGAAGGCACCGTAACCATGGCTTCCCATGACCAGTAGATCTCCTCTAAGCTTTTCAACTTGCTCACATATCACTTCCCTTGGATCTCCACACCCCACTTTTGTCTCAACCATTACCTATTTCACAAAAAAGTCTTAATAAAATGAGATACCTCCATATAAGCTCTTAAATTTAAATATAAATATAAATATATGGATGGCATATTATAAAGTACAAAGAAATCACAATCATCGTTAACTGAGAGCTTCCACTTTAATTGTATTATAAAATTTGAAAATTTACTTTTTCGGATTTTGAGCATAATCAAATGGACACCCCCAATCTCCTCAATTGCATAACACATTCCAATGTCTTAGTATATGCTTTTTACATAGGCATATAACCAAATAACTGAAAGAACGTGAAAAAGATAGGGTCCAGATCCCCATTGACTTACCCTTCTTTTTCTTTTCCTTTTTTTTGATGTGCGCCCCATTAGACTCATTCCATTAAAGTAGCAATGTCAGAGGTAGACTATTTATCCTTCACTTTTTAGGGAGCTTATCATTTCAGGCTCACCCTTGGTTATTGTCTTTCACAATTGCTATGAATAAATGACAACAAATAAAAAAGTAAATAATATCTTACATGTGGAGAGCTTTGGCATATCATTTTGGCTTTCTCCATCACCGATTCAGCCAGATCCTTGCTATATTTATCCATGGTTGCCCTGATATTATTGGAGAAAAGATATGCTACCAAAAAGGAAAAGGCAAAATAATTAAAAAAATTAAACAATGCAGAACCCAAACGAATTTACTAGCTGAAACTCAATAGTGCTTAACTTATATTAGAATATCAGGGGCACTCCCCTATCCATTTTGCTTGGCTCCGAAGCACCCCCGACTACTAAATTTGGCCTAGGGGCCGGGCCATCTAGGGTCAGTGCTCGTCGTCTTCTTCGGTTTTTTTATGGATTTAGAAAAAATAATGGGTGTGCTAACACAATGTCCCATGCCCATTTCCTAGAACTACAAATATAGTCTTATAGAAATGGAGAAAGTTTATATAAAATTGCAACCTTATATGTGATCATCTCGACACGGAGATGTATAAATATAAAAAGAAAAAAAGATTTTGAATCCGCAAAATAGTGTATCTTTCAACACATTATGTGAACCGTTAATTTTCAGGATTTTCTTGTGTTTTATAGATCTACTTGATTTGAACTATTTTTAGAATGTAAAATTTTATAATTAAAGGTGAAAATAGATTCTCGAGCCATCATAAGAATTTTTTTTATCAAAAATACATTTATAGTACCTTAATTAGATTGTTTAAGGTTGCAACCTTATGCAAACCACAACATATAGAACTTGAAAGGTATATCATATGAGGACCATTGTATATCCACACATGGAGGTAAAAGTTGAGATCAACTATTGGATGTGATATTAGGCGACTGCAGTTGTTCCATTCACTAGACACAAATTTCAAAATAAAATCGTTAAACTTTGTAACACACTTAAGTTGTATCTAACAGCCATTGGTCATTGTGACCACCTCATGTGAGAGCTAAATAGTTTTACAGTATACCATACATTGAAAGATGAGAATTGTGTGAAATGTTTTATAGATAAACAGTATTCAAAATATCTACTCGGCCAAGATACTCGGCCCTAGCCAAGGCAATTTACTCGGGTAAGTCCAAGTAACTCATTCGAGTCAAAAATAAATAAAAATAAAACATATAATATGATATTTAATGCGAAGTTTATTAACATCAAATAGTTAATGGCATGTTGATTATGCCGCGGGACATTGGCGGCTTGATTCCTGATGGCTTGCAATTTTTTTAAAGCTTCTATTAAGTAAAAATAAGTGGTTGTGGGTTTGATTCCTCATGGCTTGCAATTTTTTTAAAGATTCTATTAAAGCTTCTATTAAGTAAAAAAAAAGTGATAAGTTTTTATAAAAACAGGATCCTATACTAGTTTTCAGTTTTTATAAAAATAGGTAGGATGTTCTGCCAGGATTCTAACCCTGACCATTCGAAATCTACAAAAATTTTTAAAGCTTCTTTGAAAGCTTGAATGAAGTTAAAAAAAGTGAAGCTTTTATAAAAATGGGATGTTCTGCCGGGACCATTGGAAATCTGCAAAAAGCTTACGTGTAACAATAACACGCTAGACAGACTTATGTAAGTTAAATGTGACGAATAAATATAAATATAGTTCGAGGCAGAGTTTCAAAACCATATAGAGAAATAACAATTCCCAAACACTGCGCTTAAATTTATGTGCACAAGATCATGGGCATGATACCTGTAAATGTTCCATCCAATTCAGGGTATTCAAGAGGGGGTTTCCTGACATATAAGAGAATGATGGTATCTTTTGAGGACTCTGAAATTAGGTTTTTCAGGCACCATGAGAGCGCATACGTGCTCTCCTCGCTCTCATCCACTGCTACTACGATCCTCCTCTCCATTAAACCAATGAACCCTATAAAACAGAGATTTCAGAGTAAGGGAAAAACGGTAACACTAGCAACCATCTCAGAGCTTTGAAGCCATGGCTGTATAGGAATAATGATGATTAACAGTAAAATAATCCTAAGATATCTTATGATGAAGGACAAAACAGTAAATAACCCAAAGAGATCTGGAGCTTAGACGTACGGTACGTGTAGCAGAGAGAGATTGAGCTTTGCAAAGAAGGGTAATGGTAAGTAACACCTGCAATATTTGATCTCTCAGCATTGATGGCAATGAGGGGTTTATAAAGGGTTTGAATCTAAGCGGTACTCTTGGTTTTGGAAACCACGGTTTGCGTTACCTGAATTACACGGTGGTTTTCTGATTACTAGATTTACATGGTGGTTTTCTGATTACTAGAATACCCTCTACTTTGCTAGTTAATTCCAGTAAGCACCTCAGCACTAGAGATTCGTTTTTAAGCTTGAATAAATGAGAATGTACGAGGCGCACTTAGTTTGTGCATAGATCGGGTCGGGACACGACCTAGACTCGACTACGACGGCACACCCAATGCCTGCGGGTATGCATCCAATGCTCGTAAACTAGTTGTGATGGCTAAAGGCCATCGGTTTTGGCGGTTGTTACACTTGCTATCGTTGAATAATCCTACTTTTAATAAGATATGATACCAACTGTTATCGATAATTATTAACTAATTTAAATATACTTATTTAAACTTAACATTATCAAAAGATATATATAGTCAGACTTATATGTATTTATAATGATATATATCAATACTAACAAGATATCCATACACTAACAATAATACCATTTATCTTTGGTACAGGGTAGTTACAATTAATCTTGATCATTTGATGTGAAATTGGATTGTTGTATTTATTTCATTAACCAATCTCAAATTTCAAAATATAGAATAAAATTTACATACGGACTGGGTTTTTTTACCGTTATAACTGTATGGCCTGAAAATGACCTATTTTCGAGCCATACCGTTATAATGGTAAAAAAAACTCGGTTCGTAAGTAAATTTTCCAAAAAAAAAAATCGAACTTTATAACACCTAAGCTATCAAATTTTGCATCAAATGGTTATAAGATACAATCCCCTATTAAAAAAGGGTTTGATTTTCCCATTCAAAGACTTTTTTTTTTTTTTTTCATGCTGCTATTTACCATTGAGCATATATATATAATACTCCCTTGGGAGCTATCCCATAGTCAAAAGACCTGCATAGAAAGATTTATTTCAATTTAAAATTTTGAGAACTATATTATTAGGTGATTATTTATCATAAAAATTTATAATATTGTTTCAAGTCTGCAGAGGGTACAATTAAGAAATATTTCCTTATTAGAGTTAATCTTGTTAGGTTTATGTGGCCTTTAAAGGCCTTCTAAGTATGTAATGATAAATATTTATTATAGTAGAATATAAACTCAGTGGGAGTATGGTTTGTCGATGATCATACTAAGCAAATGTTGTTTGCTAATATCGGGCTATGCTTGACGATCTAGACCAGTCGGTTGATAAACTCAAAGTACCTGGGCATAAAGAATAAACCGATAAAGGTTTTGGGTTAGCCCTTTATGAGGCCGGAGCTTATGCCTGGATGAGTGAGCTGAGTGACTGTGTTACCCTTATGTGTGATGGTAGGCCTACAGATACGAGGGCCAAATCCTCATCCATGTTCCATCACACGGCATGCATATCGATAGATCGTTCGGGAAAGCCAGTTATCCACCTTTGAGTGCAGCATATGCATGTGCGAGAGAGATATCCTTATGCACCATAGAGCTGTTGGTGAACTTGACTAGTTTCTAGGGGAGGACCTGTAATTCATAAATTGGGATTGCGACCCCTTGATTCATCGGCTTGACTTTGGTGACCTGCTAATGAGCCCCTACTTGGACTGTGGGTCATGGAAAACACTGGGTCGGTTTGATAAAGCTAGTGAGGTATGTAGTCCACAGTTGACGATGAAGTACCCCATAATTACAGCTTGAATTCCTAAAACATATGGATATTTTTCCAATCATATTAATTTAATTGTGTTTGAAATGATTTTAGTTTTATTATTTGAATTTTTATGGACCTCTCAATATTTTATTTATGATTTTTTGATTTATCAAAATGCAGTTATTGACTTTACAAAATTGTAAAAATTTAAATATACATTAATTTGTTTTATTTAAATTTAAACTATTTATAAAATTTCATGGGGGGCCCAAAGTGCACATGGGCCCACCGTGTAGCATGTGAGTGGGGACCCACATGTGCCACATAGGGTTGGCACGGCCCACCCCTTTGGATTCTTTTTATTTTCTTTGTTTTCAAGTCTTTAAGTTATGGTAACTTTGATTTGTGGCATGTGGTCAAATTTTGGTAGGAACATATTGACTATGGCTTATTTCGTTTTAGAGCAAGTTTGCGTTAAGGGGATATGATCAATTTGAATAGATAGTAAATATTGACCTTATCTTATGTATATTTTGTAATATTTATTTGATTGATAATATTTGGCATATCCTTATGAAATATGGGAGATGGATCATGCAATTTTATGGAATGCATGTTATTTATTTTATTTAAATATATTGATGCAAAAATAGTTTAAGAAAAGGGGGATAATGGTCAAAGCACCTTCCATAATGTTGATGGCCCATCTATGTAATGGATGGCTCAGATCTCTCACCCCACAAGTCACATTGATCAACGGTCTAGATTCAATCTCATGAAAGATACAAACTATGTGAAAACCTTAAGAAACCCTAAACTTAACTTTGCACCATAAAAGATAATTTTATTTCCTATCTCTACACGACCTCGCTCTCACACATAATATCTCTCTCACCTCTCTCCTAGAGGGGCACACCCCACTCTCTCTCCTCTATATTTATCTCTATAACCTTCTCTCTCTAAAACTCTCAAAGGGGCATGCCCAACCCTAGGTAGTTCGCTCTTTCATCTCTAGACTTAAGAATCAACTAGGGTAATAAATCAGAGGGAAGCTTAAAGTTATTTTTTGGGGTTAGGGTTTGGTAGAGATTTTAAAGGTGGTTACCTAGTTTGGCGAAAATCAGCTTTTTCGGTTTGAGATTGAAGCTAGACCACAGATCCCGTGCTATTGGATGTGGTGACTCGGTGTGGGATGCAAAATGCCCGGTTGAGCTAATATCCGGCATCTTTTATTTTATTTACTTGTTCTTTTATTTGTATACTATCAAGCATAATATTAGATTGTATGAATGACATCAAGTAGTTGAGTTTTATTATTATGCAATTTTATTTTGGAATATCTATTGTTTGTAATAAGACCATATGTGAGTGATCTTGTTGCCAAAACATAATGGGTGATTATTATTAATAATAATAATAATAATAATAATAATAATAATAAATTGTATTTCCCCAACAAAAGATCACATAGGTATTTATTTCAAACCTATGGGTTAAAGAGGTTTCATCCCAAACTTTGTTGTCCTAAGTCAATTACATGTAGGGTTTTATCTGAGGGAGTAAATAGACATTCTACCCTACGGGAGTAGAATATCTTTTGGATTTATCATTAGGAAGACCTAAGGTTGTGGCATTAATATTGATAAAAAATTGATGAGCCGTGTTGCTTACGAAACCATATAGGTGGGATGTTTGCATGCTGGAAGTTATATATCACCAAACATGGCAGATACATTTTTGCCTCTTCTTATATGTGTTTTGTTATTATTTGGAACACCTTGATCAGGATCATATATGTCCAAACAAAATAAAAACTCGTGTGATCTAGTTGACATATATAATAATTTTTTTATTTTATTTTATTTTTTCTTTCCTTCATGGTCTATATCACTTGCATGTAGTCATTTTACAATATAATAACTTCAAATAAAATAAAATAATATAATAGGATCTCAATAAGTTGAAGCCATTCAAATTTTTTCATTTAATAAAAAACAAATAACACAACCTATGCTTGAAAATAAAAGACACAATAAATAAGTATGGAATAAACAAAAGAGGGTGGCGGATATTACCTCAACCGGGCTTAATACACCCCATGTCGAGAGTCCTCTTTCTGATAGTGCTCAGGATATTTGATCGGTCCCTTGATTTATCCTTCTTGTGGCAAAACCCAAATAATGCACATGGATTCCAATTTAGAACCACCCACGTAAACCCTCAATGCTTAGGCTTAATTAAAACCCATTGGTTTGATCCTTATGAGAGATAAAAATCAAGAAAAAAAGGAGAAAACTAATAGCTAGGGATGATTCATTTGCTGCTAACAAACTCACATAACCAAAATCTAGCTTGATTTAGAACATATGAGAGAGATTCAAGCTTAACCTAGCTTAGCTTGAGTACGCGTCCCTTATGATAGTTTGTAAAAGAGAGAGATGTAGGCTATGGTGGGGTCCCTTAGGTTTTTTGGAGAGAAAGAGAGTAACCTATATGAGGTGTGCCCCTTATAGAGGCTAGAGAGAGAAATTCTATTTAGAGAGATAAGAGAGTAAGTAAAAGATGTAGATACAAGGGAAGAGAATGATCCATTTTATAAATTTTTTATGTATTAGGGTTTGTCATAAAATCGTAGGAGCAAATCTTGCATCGATTTAAAGAGACTTATGGGGTGAGAGACATGAGTAATTCATTTACTAGATCCACCATTTTAGATACCAAGGAAGATGTTATAACCTTATTCTCCCATTTCTAAACCTATTCCCATCAAACAAGTTAAATAAGAAACATATTTTTTTACTTTATCTAATAGTAAATATTCATTATTTTCTAAAACCACATATTTCATTACTTTATTGTAAGTAGGTTTATCTCCACAAAAAGAAAGCCAATTACCATGAGATGACTCTCACAATATTTAATGATTAAATGCAATCTCCTATGGGTGGGGCTTACCACCATTTGGTGGCCATTTATGGGTCCCACCTATTGTCTCGTGTGATTTAAACAGGCATTCAATAATTATGGAGGGTCCCATATATTTTAGAAACAATAAAAAGTGATTTTTATATTTTTCAAACCTCTTAGTTTATTTAAAACTTTAGAAATAAAATGTTATTGATTTATAAATTCAAATGATGAAATTAAATAAAATAAGATTCATAAAAATTAAAATAAACATTTTAAAAATCAAATAACATAAAATTAATTAAATTAAATTAATTTTGATGGGAATCGGATCCAAATAAGTACCTTCAACTGTAGATCACGATCCACACTAGTTTTCTCAAACTGACCCAGTAGTTCCCATGACCCATAGTCCACTGCAGGAGTTCAT